TGGGTTGGGCTGCAGGAGCTGGGTCCAGAGGGGAAATGCAGGGCACCGAGCCTGCGCCCAGCTGAGCCTGGCCCTGCTCACCCCATGGCCCTCAGACTCTGCACTGGAGCAGCAGTGCTTGCCCCTGCATCCCTGTTAGCAGCGTGATGCTACCGCTTCATGGGAAATTGTTGACGTGACTTTTTAGTATTCTTCTTGCAGTTTAATTGCATAGAAACAAAAAAGAGCTTAACAGCTGCCAGCCTGTTCCTGCTTAAGTTAGAGCTATTGCAGTCCTTTAGAATTTCACCTAAATGAATTGATAACCAGTTTTCTTATTAGCTAACCTCTGTCTTTTAAAATTTCATATGCCATGATATGATCAGTACACATACTAGAGAAATAATAGCATCACCGTTATAAAAAACAGTTGATATAATGTATGGGAGTTCTATTAAGTAGTGCTGGGCTCTCAGATGCCAGGCACTAGTTTCTAACTTTGCACCTTTTTTATGATGGATATATAGTATATATTAATAGAAAGAGCATATATTTAGAGATGATGATTACTTGCTGGGTACCAAGCCGACGGGGAATAGCTGTGTGGGTAAATGTGACACTGGTGTGTACACAGGGAGGTATCCTTAGTGACTCAATGCACTTAATAAGGAGCAGATGACCCTGCTCCCCTCCATGGACACAGCAAAACAAATAATTGAACATATTAATCCATAAGAACTGTCATTACACATTGCTTACGAAGAAAAATCACCTCCTGGCCATCGATCTCCCGGACATGGGATACCACGTGCTGTACAGATGCATCTCTGGTGGGGAGAGGGCAGCGGCATCCGACGTGCCCGCAGCTCCAGCCCTGTCACAGGGCTTGGACTGGCCTCATCCCAGCCTGAGCAGGACAGCAGAGCCGGACCCTGGCCAGACCCCAGCAGGACCAGGGCAGTGACACCTGGATGTTGTTGGGCCGGCAATGCCTCCTCTTCCAGCCAACGCAGCCTTGAGGAGAACATCTTAACCCAGACCTTCCACGTATCAAAGCAACTTGAGCTTCTGTGCTAAAAAACCTAAAAGCAAAATGGTAAGTTTCTTCCTGATTTATATGAAGAGCCCAGAGTCATGTCCCTGGCAGTAACAGAATTGCTGCCGATGTGTGCTGATGGGAAAACCAGACCTTGCTTTGCTAACACTGTGACAGGAGTGGTCCTGTCTGTGGCAGGATGGCTGTGCCTGCCTCGGAGCATCCCGTGCCCACCCATGGGCAGGAAGGAGCTGGGGCGAGCATCAGGCAGGGTCAGCTGCGTTCCCCCAACAAGCCTTGCTATCCTGCATGCTCTCTGAAGGGGCAGAGATGTGTTTTCTAGTATCATTGAAAGTAGGCTGTGGCTTACCATTTCAGACTCATACAGGCCTAATTAAATAGATACTTTCAAATTACCAATGCGGATATTCCCAGGGAAGCTGCCTGTCTTCATCTGCCCTTCTGCATACACAGCTGCTGGGGGAGGCTGAGCTGCCAGCACTACGTGAGCTGAGTATTGCACAAGCTATTTACTGGAAAGTGGCTAGCAGGTGACGGTTTATTTCTCTTCTGCCTTCATCCTTCCTGCCCTGCCTTCAGTATGGGGTCTGAATGAACGCCTGGTGGCCCCTTCCCTCCGCTTCCCCTTTCGCAGCCGAGATGTGGGTGCTGAACCAGCGCTTGCACAACTGAGGGTTGCTGCCATCTCTTGCCCAGCACGTACAGCCATCACGTGGAGGAAAAAAGGGATGGCTGGTATAATGAAACTGCCCCATGACGTTAAAAGGTGAAGAAAGTTGTTTCCATGCCCTGTGTAGATGATGGCAATCACCAGAAGAGAAACACTACTACCAAGAAGGAAGGGCACGTGGCAAACTGCCCGCAACGGGCACTGCCTCTGATGGGTCTGGGGTGGGGGTACCGGGAGCCACGGTGAGCCTCTTGCCAAGGAGCCGCCTACATAAACCCAGGAACACTGCATGGATTGCAAATTGAACCATGAGTTATTCCAGCATTACAATATTCACCACTTTATTACACTAATCTCATGAATAACTCTGCTAGGTGAACAGGTGACCAGAATGAATTGTGTTGTGGAGCGATAGGCATTGCATTTGGTTTGGCAGATTCCTATATGAGACACACATAAGAAATCAGGCTAAACAGAAAGTGGGTTTGTGTTGAAAATGCAAAATTCTCTTTTCACATTCTTTCTCAAGCCCAAGATGGATAACAGCAGTGAAAGCAAATATAGATAGTCAGATGTAGGAGGTGACAACCACAAATCTCTAATGCGGAAAAAAATTAAATACAAACAGCATGTCCAGGCAGAGTGTATGTGGCCTTTCCACTTCTGCTATGGGATTACGTACATATTTAAAAAGCCAAAACCCACCAACTCCTCTTGTGCCCCACGTAAGCCCATTCACGAGAAAAAGGAGCCACTGAGCTGGTACAGGAAAGCCCCAAATAGCTACAGTTTTAGAAAATAAACATTTCTTTGAAAAGTCCTGTTCTGTCCACTGCAAAAGGCAAAGGTGAGTCTACTAAAGGTGTTTCAGCTTAATATTTATTGCTGTATGGTGCTTTCCCTGGAAGAAAATTCCTCTTTAATGTGTTAGGCTCCAACTTTAAAAAGGGAATATTCGACTCGCTTTTGGAAATTCTGCTCTTAGCTTCATTTGTATTGGGCTGAACGTGTGCAATGTCACACCCAGCTGAATTATTGCCTCTTGGTGCTATGTACAATGGTCCTTAAAAAACAGGAGGTATTTATAATGGAAACTCAAGCGCAGCCTTACCTGTCCCAGGCCGTGCTGCCATAACACACATGATGGGTCTTTTTTCCACCGAGTGATTTAGTGATTTATGTGTAACGATTTGTTACAAAGCAAACAGAGGGAAGAAAATAAGGATTTACGCACCTTTCTCTCCAGTCAAAACTTTAGTTAGCACTCCCCGGACAACCCTCTCCCTGCCGGCGCAGCCTGGCTGCTGTTTCCAGCCCCCCCAAAGTTGTGCTGTTCCAGCGTGGGAACCGCTGCTGGCTGAGCTGGAGAGCGGTGGCTTCAGCCAGCAGCATTGCTGCGGGGGGACGGGACCAGCCCTCCCACGGCAAACTTCTCGGGGAGCGGTGCAGGAGACACTCGTGTGATGTGACAGCAAAATCCTTCCTGCAGCATCACCGGGATCAGCAGCATCAGCATCATCACCCTGAGCTGAGGGGGATCCCCGCAGGTGCCCCAGGGGTGCCTGGGCGTAGCACCCAGCACGTGTCGTGGCCACCCACCGCGCCAGGGGAACGCTGGCATGGGTATTTGTGCGAGATACTCGCAGAGGAAAGCAGCCACTTTATCCCTCAAATTGAGCCAAATGAGTACTTTTGGTCACAGACTTTTAGGGTCTTACTGTTAACAGGAAAAAGGCAGATAGAGTGGCTTCATGGACATTAAAGAGAATAGCATATAAAACAAAACACTCAACACAAAGGGGGCTTTTTTTTTTTTTAAACAGGACGCACAGTTTATTATCAGACAGGCAGGTATCAGTGAAATATTTAAGGATATTGCAGATGAGCAACACATCAGAAAGCAGAACTAAAGTTGTCTCTGATGAGACACGACCAGCGGTCCTTTCTCCATGCCTCGGGGAGCAGCGAGCCCCTGGGCAGCGCTCACTTTGTGCTTTGCTGCGGGCTCCTCCGTTGCCTGCTGGAACTCAGGCAGAGGAGGGGGCTGCTCACACCCAGCCCATGCTGCTGTCCACACTCCGCCTGGCACGCCCCGGTGCTCTCTGCAGGTCCTTCCCGAGCCCAAGCTTGTACAAGCATATTACTTCATCGATCTCTTCACCCTTTATATTTGAAGTCAGGTCAGTCAATTGGAGAGTAAGTTCTGCTGCTGCAATGATTCTGCAGGGATGTTAGGCAGAGAACTGGCTCCTCGATAGCTCCTGTTTCATTATCGGAACTGTTAATGAAGTTCTAACTGTGAGGTCCAAATTCTGCTTCAAGCTATACATTCTGCTCGCACTTATACATAATTACATTAAAGTAAATCTATACTTTGAAAAGTGACTGTGAAAATGCCAGTATGAGCTTGCATAGCTGTCCCAGTGATGTACGAAGGCAAATCTCAGTTAAGATCTAAAATGATAGATTTTCGTATTTTTATTTCTGCAAGCTGAATCTAGCTTTAACATCAAAGTGTGAAAGAACCTGTCTCTACACACACACACACACACACACCCCCACACACCCTTTGCTGTCTCAGTGCTTCCACAAAACGCTTGTATGACCAGCAGCCAAACATTACAGCTTTCCGCACTCCTCACACTCATCACAAACAAAAATAGCGACGTAGCCACTGCCTCCCTTCTGGCAATGCCAACAAAACGTTCCACCCAGCCATTTGCATACCCTCCTTTTTTGCCACATCCAAGGTGCCAACCCTTGCCGAATCAGCTGGAAATGTGAATTGTCCCAGTTATTTATTCTGAAAGGTAAACCTCCCAGGAGACGCAGAGTTTGCAAACACTTCTACAAAGAAGACTCAACCTTGATCCCCGGATTGTGTAGACCATGTGAACTAGTGCCGCGGCACATTTTATCCAAGCCTAGGTCCAGTCCAGCCTCAAGTTATGGCTCACAAAGAAGTTGTCTGAGAGCAACATATTTTCCCTCTAAGAACTACCATGATGATCTTTTATTTACAATATTAATAGGCCATAGCGTATCCCGCTATGAGAGCACAGTTTCCTGCTGTACTGTTGTGAGTGAGCAATCACTCCTGGTTTGCTGGAGTCAGATTAGCAGTTGTATCCTGTACAATAAGGTAACAAGTGCATTTAGAGGAACACAATCAGCTTACGCATATTCTATAGCACAAATAAAGTTATCTAAAAAATGGCACTGTACATTGTTGAATGCTCTCTCTAAGAGATTTTCCTCCCCCCGTCTCCGACTACGAGAGGTCTTCTTATTCGTTCATTTGCTGGTGGTTGTCAACCTGCTCGAGAGCTGCCTTATTTTTGCCATCAGCATCTCTCTGAAGTGGTCACCCATTAAGAAATAAAAAACAGGATTAATGACACTATTTAAAAACGCAATGGGTCTCGTGATGATGTAAATGATGTTGATGATTCTCTGCGTGCACATAGATACATTCAAGGCTGGTATTCGGGAAGCAAGTCTGACATTGCGCATTATGTGATAGGGAGTAAAAAGCAATGAGAAGATAACCACTGTGAGGATGACTAAAGTAAGAGGTTTTTCAAGCGTCAGGAGGGAGCTGAGTTGCTCGCTCTTGTTTTTAAGAAAAAGAACCATCTTCACATAGAAGCAGCACATGATCATGAGAGGGATAAGGAACCCAAAGACCGTCAGAAACATGCTATAGATGAGGTTTTTCGCGGGGTCTCCAGAGCTTGCATAATCAAGACAACTGTAATCATTGTCAGGCGTTACAGGCTCCAGGAAATACATCAATGGCAGCAATTCCAGTATCACTCCGATCCATATAGCAAAAGACACGATAAGGGCCATTTTCCTCTTCTGTAGAAAATGTTCTCTGAAAGGACATTTTATGAGCATGTATCGGTCAATACTGATAGTGGTGAGGAAAAGGATGCTGCCATACAGGTTTGCATGCAACAGGAACCTGTTGCTGTGGCACAAGATGCTCTCCACTGACGGTTGATCTCTGGAGTAGCTGTTCACAAGTACTGGAAGAGTACAAAGAAATAATAAATCTGATAATGATAAATTAAACAGGTAGATGTTGCCACTTTTCCAATTTTTCAGACAGAAAATATAGCCGAACATAACAATGGTGTTTCCAGTGAAGCCTAAAATGAACTCAAGGCTGTACGTGATGGAAAGATAATACTTTTCTAGGACTCTGCTCATCGGCAAACAGCCACCTGTCTCGTTCACAGCCTGGAAAGTCAAAAGACAAAAAATAAACACCAAAAATTAGTGAAAGATCATTGCATGACTATTTTTATATTGTTGCTGTAATAGGTGAATATGGCATGCTATTTCCTTACAGCTTTTATGATAAGTAGAGATTTGAACTCAAAGAATATCCCTTATGCACGCAAGATTTCTACCTTCAGCTATTGACCAGAGTTACAGAGCGAGGTGAAAACTTGTGTGAGCAAAAACCTGTGTGAGGAGTTTGAAGTAAGAGCATCACCTGAAGGCATCTGCCATAACGTGCCAGCTGCTGCTTGGCCAAACCCATGGCAGTACCAGAGGCCGGGAAAGTAAAACTCGCCTGTCACCACTTTGTCACAGCCCTTGCTGGAAGTCATCTGCCTCCCTGTTACCCAACCCCTGTCCGGTGGTCTCCTCACTCATCACTAAAGCAGAAGTCCACTGTCAAGCTTGATAAAGGATGAACTCATTAGCAGCAATACGGCCACGCTCTGACAGCATTACTCGGAATTCATTAAGAAGTCAGGAGAGAATGTGTTTATTAAATTAATCAAACCATTCATCACACACTTTGTACGGTTTTGCTGGTAACTCGGTACCAGAATTGCACAGAAAGCGCTGTGAGGATGAAGTGCATATCCTGTGCATCACGGCAGGCGTGCCGGAGGGCTTCTGAGCCATTCCTGCAGACACAGGGCATTTCTGCTCCTGGGGTTTTACAAGTCTTTTCTGTTTTCTACAAAAAGCCCTTTCAAGAAGGGAAGGTTCAGTTACGACTGAGTCCTCGTTGATACGAAAGCAACTGTAGTCAAGGGGACAGCACAGTCAAGATCAGGATAAAACACCTTCAAAGCCAAATTCACAAACTCTAAGTTACTTTTGTTATTAACTTCCCATGAAGTGAGAACACTGTGTATGATTTATTCAATTACAGCTCATAACTTCTGCTAAGCCCACACCCTGTGTGTAATGGAGTGCCCCAAGCCCAGCCCCACGGAGCGGCCGGAGGAGGAGAAGCTCTTCCCTGCCAGGACAACGCTGAGCACCGTGCTGGCAAACGCGTGGCTGTTTGCAGCCGGGAGAGCTCCTGGCAGGGCTGCCAGCACCGCTGCCACTCCTCCTGCACTGCTATTTCATTTTCTCTTTGGCTCCAGACAAAGAGCTTCTCCTTTCATCTTGGAAGTAAGTAGCACAATCAGTATTCCTTAAGGAGCAAAGCTTTCTAGGAAGCTGCACCAAGTGTGAGTTTGCCTGAGGACAAATTTTGCTTTCTTTCTAAAGGTTGGTTAAAAAAATGCTTTCATGCTACAGGGAAAGAAATGGAGTAGGCTCTCAAGCAGTCATTCCTCTCCCTCCTCAGGCAAAGACACCCGCACCCACCTGCAGGGGAACTGCAAGATAAAGAAAGCTTTTAGTGAGAGCCTTTGGTTAAAATATTAACAAAACAATTAGAAAGCAGGGGAAAACAAAATGTTAGAAAAATGGGATATAGATTAAAACTGAAATCAAGCTAAGTCTAAGCTCTGAAAGAGCAGCAATGTGACTGCCCACAAAACCTGCTAAAGACAACCTCTGCAAACCATGTAATTGTTTTAAGTATTTTCAAAGTTGTTCTGGTGTCTAGAATTTGTTAATAGGTCTCTGCTCTCAAAGCACTGTATTTTATTTTAAAGGTAGGTCATGAGACAGAATAAAGTACAGCATATACATCCAGCATATATCCAGCATAAAGTTACATCCAGCAAATATCTACACTTACACTGTGTACCGCAGGGGACAAAATATAGCCATGAATGCTCACTTTGGTCAGAATGACCTCACATGCAGCACCTAGCCTAACCCTGGCTGGTCAGGCTCTTGAGAAGAAATTCAACACTTCAGTGAGATTTTAATTCTAGAAAACACTGCACTAACATTAGCACTTTAAATACAAATAATAACTTTAAATTTACTATATTGACAGTTACATTGATTTAGGTAGTTGTTAGAAAAAGGCTGATTAATCAATTTTAAAGAAAGCAGTCAGGGTAAAACAATTAAAGGGTTAATTCAGAAATGGTCTCGCTAGAGGAATAACAGAGTCTTCTCGAGAAGCCGCAGTCTGACAGCCGGCTCTCGGGGCACAAGGACGCCTTACCATTCCCAGGGCTGGATACTGCCTCTCCATCAGCACTCCTGGACCATGCCTTGGCAAGAATTTTGCGATCCCTCGAGTGCAGCACAACACCGCCGTTTAACCTAGTTTGCATATGATTCAATCATTAATGAGTCAAGGCAAAGGAGCGATTTGTTTGGCTGAGCAGAACACGGGGGCAGTTTTCATGGGAGGAAGGTACTGCAAAATGTGTGCCGAGCCAAGCCAAACAAACACTTCCCCTTTGCAGAGACCTGTTTGGAAACCACCCGGGGAGGATGGGAGGACGGGGGGGCTGCAGCTCTGCCCCGCGCCATGGGGAGCTTGGGGCGTGCCGAGAGCACCTGCCGAACGCGGGGCTCTGATAAAGGATTTAATGTGAAATGCTTCTGTTTGGACAATGTCCAGATCTCACAGCGAGCCATGGGGCCAGCAGTCAGAGGTCCCCAGCTCCCACCCCGCCTGGCCAGCGCTGTGCAAAGCACTTACCGCGTGCGGGCTGCAGCGGCTGTTGAGGTGGAGAGCCCGGTCCTGCTTCTCAGAGGCATGAAGAGGGAGAGTGCGCTGCTCTTCATCCCGCGTTTTGAGAGATCCCCAGAGGCATCAGGAAGGCAAAGCCTGGTGGCTTGTGTCTTGATCACATCCAGTCTTCTTCAACCACTGAACAGTCTCTCCTGTTACACTCGGAGATCAATGCAACAGATGCAGCAGCTCAGTGACATTCTATAGTTAGCAAACCAATTAAAACAACATGTTTTAATTATATTAGAGCAGAATGCTAAAGAAGAGCACTTAGTTTTCATATAGTAACACATTTTAACACTTCAAAGCTTGATGGTTTATTCATCATTGCTATGTAATATTATTATGTTTTTAACTTTGAGAATAAATGCTGCTAATGCAAAATGACTCTGCTCCACTGCAACTAATGCACCTGAACCAGTTTATATCAGCACAAAAGTTGTTTCTTGGTTTCAAACGATACAGTGGCATTTTTAGGTGTGGTTTTGATTGTATTTTTACCTGTGGACCGCTGTCTTCCACTGTAAGAAGATTTAACTTTTACTGCTGTGCATAAGCATGCTCTAAGTCAGGTTTCAAGCCAAAAAGTTGCTACTGTGTGATCTGTCAATATACATTAATGACTGAAGACAAAAGGATCCGTCTTTCTTTCCTGGCTCATGTAAGAAGTATAGCTATTTTCAGCCCGCTACAGAAAAAACATTTCACTCTATGCAGGCTGCGGGGCTGCATTTACAGTCACTAGGCCTACTTTGCAGGAAAAATAAAATCCCAGCATTTGTGGGGCTTATTAATCGCCCCTTTAGTAAACAAGCCAGAACTGCTTTATTCACCCGTTAATGACAGCTTGCTCAGAATTGCTGGCAGATACCAAACCAGCTACTACTGCACCCACGAGCAGATGGCCATGCATTTGCAACGCGCGCATGTATACTGACATCTAATTGCTTCATCCGATCCCAGCAAAACCAGGCCATTCATGCAGTATTTAGATCGCATGCAGCATCTGGAAAACACGGGCAGTGCCGGCGCTGCTGTGAGCTGGGTGAGCGGCTCCCAGCAACACTGTATGTCGTTACAGCACCGATCCACTGCTTCATCCCTCGCAGGGACAAACAAACTGGAGCTAAGTTCCGATGTAAAACTAGAGCGTATCCAAAAAAAGCTGTTCTCTGCTGGGTTAGCCCTTTATACAGCTTGTCTACTTGAGGGCAAGGCTTCCTCAGGCAGGAGAGGAGCAGAAGCCCAGGTGACAGTGGGTGACAGCAGCACTGTGCCGCGCTCCGGCTGGGATGGTCCCTTCACTGGGGAAGGTCATGCCCAGGAGAAAGGGGTGTTTCAGCTGCAGGCAGAGCACCGCTAGGGTGGGTATCTCCAGTTCTCAGGCGAACTGCTTAGTCTCAGAGTTGTGGTCTTCCCAGCCTCATCCCTGCTCCTGACTACGCAGGTAACAGCACACAGTCTCATCCTGACCGGTCCGGGATCGAGCCTTCTCCAGGGGGTCACTGCCATGGAGAGCATTTCAGAGCAAAGCTTTGAGGTTGTCTGCAAATATGGCCACCACATAGTTAACTAAAATCACTTTTAAAAGCAATTTCCTTCTTTTTCAGAAGGAAATACAAAGAACTGAGAAGATAAGGCTCACTTCTTTTCTCCTCTCCATGTACCCAATAGCCCTGCAGTGCTGAAGGAGCTCCTGTACATGGTGAGTGAGTGCTCAGAAGAAAAATGATCCAGTGCTCCAGACAAAAAGTACATTTTGAAAAAGTGCAAGAAGAAAGAGGAGTGCCAGTGAAAGACTGAGCTTTAAAAAAGCTCTGTGAATTTCCGCTACAAGATTAAAATAAAAAGGAAAGAAGAGCTGGGCAGGTTTGGGACTAGTGGCAGGTACCTGCCCCACCACACCTCTGTCCTGCCCGGGGGCAAGCTGGCACGGCAGCACCAGCGGTCCCCGCAGCACAGGCAGGAGGTCGGGCTGCTGCCTGGGCAGGAGCATCGCTGGGGACAGGCAGCGGTGAAGTGCTGTGGTGATGGCTGGGAGCACAGACCAAAAAGGACATCAGAGCTAAGATTGCTTGACAAGGGCAATCACCTGCCTCGTTCTTTAAGACAGAGTAATGGGAACCTTGAGAGAAGATGCAGGTTCGACAGCCATTTTTAACTGAGAGTGCTGGAGGTTGGCTGCAGAACATGCCACTTCCCCATAATACTTTTAATTTAGCTAATACAGGTAGCAGGAGTAGTGAACATGTGGCAGTTTGCAATGGCTGAGGCAGCCAGGGATGGTGCCCATGTCCCCAGCCAGTGCTCAGTCTGTTCCTCTGACTGCAAGAGAAAACCCAACCTGGGGCCCAGGGGCAGCATCTCCAGCCATGGTCTGTGCCAGGACTGCAGC